CGCACGCACGCACGCACACACACACACACACACAGTGAAACACATGGCGGGTGTTGTAGTGATAAACAGAAGCGATGTTTCCTCACAAACTCGAATGAAGCCAAGCTCACACATGCTGCTCAACAACCGTAAGACTCCACAGTTCTATCAACTTAATACACTACTGGTCAAAAGTTTGGAATAATTTAGTTTTTTACTTTTTTAAAAGAAGTCTCTTCTACTCAGCAAGGCTGCATTTATTTGATCAAAATACTGTAAAAATTATGAAATATTATTACAATGTAAAATAACTGTTTTCTATGTAAATATCTGTTAAACTGTAATTTATTTCTGTGATGCGCAGCTGTATTTTCAGCATCATTACTCCAGTCTTCAGTGTCACATGATCTTCAGAAATCATTCTAATATGCTGATTTGCTGCTCAATATTTTTGTGGAAATCGTGATGCATTTTATTTTTCAGGATTCAGAGATGAATAGAAAGTTCAAAAGAACAGCATTTATTTGAAATAGAAATCTTGTCACATTATACGTCTTTACTGCCACTTTTGATCAATTTAATGTGTCCTTGGCGAATAAAAATATAAATTTGTTTCAAAATAAAGCACTTTTGTAAGGCTGTGTACATTATGTAACAAAGTCAGTCAGAAATGGGAGTTTTGCAGCCGTACAGACAGTCAAATGTCCTGAACCATAACGAGTGCGCTTTCAAATACACAATACTGCAGACTGTAACCGCGCAGGACGTCTGGAGCTTGACGTTCATCGCTATGGTAACCGTGTGGGAACAGAAAGCAGTGCTGTAAAAATCTGAGCTGGTGAAGAGGTGCTCATGACGAGAGAAAGTCTTTGAATCTGACGTTAATGTCAAGCTGAAGCGCCGTGAATCACGTCAGGTCATCAGTCACTAATCAAATTATTATTAATAATTCAGTCGAAGCAAACACAGCGCTCAGGAAATGTTCAAATGAAGCATCATCATCATGAGACTAAACCAGCAAGAGTTTCATTTTTTAGCTTTATTTTCAATCCAACATGTCAACAATTAAAAAAAAAAAAAAAACTTTTCTTTTATCAACTGGTGAAATTATGTAATGTTGAACGGAAATGTTGCAAGCTTTCAGAAGATATTTAAATATGTAACATGCAATTTATGGGGGAAAAATATCACAGGATATTCGTAATTATAATTAATTTCCACATCCGTGTGAAATGAAAGCTGCAGAGTGTCAGAAATAGAAACAAGACGTTGGTCAGGTACAGATGCCTGGTTTTAATAGGACACATCTAATTTGATCACATTGTTATTGTTTATTTATTTGATAGGGACAATGCATGTTAATGAACATTTGTAGTAATACAGAATGTAAACAAGCCGGATTATAGCAACATTGCTAATTTACATCCGCAGTCCCTAGGCAGGTACACACAAGGACACAGACTCAAAAATACATACAACAGCACATAAAAGACATTTTAAAATTTCTAAGTAAAATGTTTACGCATTTGACTTTCTCAACAAACAGACAATTAGCTGATTCCGTTGAATAATTACTGCGAAAACTAAATTGCATTGGATGTAAAAAAGTAACACCATTATTTAGATGATTAGTCAGAAGCTTAGCTACCCATTTTTCTGCTAGATATAATCGGAAGGATACTAATTGGCCTATAGTTACTCAAATTAGTTTTATCTCCAGATTTATAAATTGGGGTAACTGCAGCCATCTTCCAAGTTGATGGAACAACTGCTTGCCTAAAGGACAAATTTACCATATGTGTTATTGGGCCTACTAAGGAATCTTTATTATATTTAAAAAAATGTGTATCAAGCCCATAGGCATCCTTTGCTTTAGAGCTTTTTAATGCGTGAATAATATTAGCTACTTCTAATTCAGTTACTTCCTCTATTTGAAAAATAGATTGGGCACAATTAATAGGTCTATAAGTAATATCTTTTAAGGTAAAAAGCTGGGTTATTTCGTCAACTGAATTAAAAATATATGTATTAAAATTAGTAGCTATAGTTAATGGATCTTTAACTAAAATATTATTAATTTTAAGTTCAAAACTTTTATCCATATTCTTTTGTTTTCCAACTAGTTTATTAATAGTTTGCCAGATTTTTTCCCCATCCCCTTTCGATCCCTCAATTATATCCATAAAAAAAACTGGCTTTGGTCTTTCGTAAAATCTGGATTACTTTATTCCTCATAGAAGTATATTTATAACGATCAGTAATAAGACCAGAATTCAATTATTTTTTAAGGAGCTGATCTCTATCCTTCATCAATTTCCTACATTCATTGTTAACCCAGGGCAGTGTATTCCCTTTTCTTTTTGTTAACCGTCCCCTTCTAGTAAACAACTCAAACACTTCTTTAATTTCCCCCAAAAATAATCACATCCTCCCTCTATGTCCCCACTTAGGAGGACTTCACTCCAATCTGTCTCTTTCAAAGCTATTCCAAGATTTTGTTGCTGATTTTTAGGGACTATATCCTGATAAACAGGCTTTTTAAATTAATTTAAAAAGCGTTGTTTTGTAAGTTTTCTTGAAAAGAAAATTTCATTATGATCCTGTCAATCAATTATAATGCTTTAATTTATTTGTAAACAATAAATCTATTCTAGTTTTAGAACGAGGGGTTATTCTAGTAGGCTGTTCTATCAGTTGTGTAAAATTAAAATAATCAAAGATCTGTATTACATTTTTTCTTTCCTTACTTTCATTCCAATTGCTATTTTAATCTCCCATGATAATTACTTCCTTTTTCAGATCGCAATGGTTAAGGAGTTGTTTCAATTGGTCATAAAAATAGTTTACGATATGTAGTACTGTATGTAGTTTACGATACATACAGATTAAAATAAAAGACCAAATTCACTTGGCCATTCAATTTGTTTGCATTTGAAAATGCTTTTTAAATACAATAAAACCCCTCCACCCTTCCCCTGATCCCGATCTTTTCTAAAAACATTATATCCAGGCATATTTACTACTGACTCTGAGGAGGAACGATTCAACCAAGTTTCTGATAATCCTAAAAAGTCAATATTGGAATTACAGAGTAAATATTCAAGTTGTTCGCGTTTAGGAGTCATACTCCGGATGTTTAAATGTCCGCCAAACAATCCTTTCACTTTACATCGTGCATCCCAGACAACTTTAGCTTGATTCAATCTTTGGGAAAATTTTGTTGATCGATGCCTTTTCATGACCGGATTCCTAAGTTTGATGGATCTGTTCAAATGTAAGTTCGAACAGATAGGTGTTGAAGGTAACCGAGTCAAACACTCACCACCAACAGATTCAGCACTTTGCAAGCCAGCTTGCGCCTCATACAAATACACTGGATCCAGTCCACTCCGCGCACGAACACCTCCACGATTAGACACACCAGCGGCATCGTTGTTTGAGAACCCCAGAAGAGTCGGCACCACTGGGCCGACAGAAACAGGCCCCGAAGCCGCCGGCGTCGGCATCGCCGATAAGGAATCCACACACAGGCAAGCCGCACTACATAGACCAAGCCACGACACGGGAAGCTGAAGCTGAAGTCCAGGAGTGGAACAGTCGTGGTCGGATTTATTAGACAACTGTTGTCAATATTCACGCCGACGTCGCCATTATATGATCGTGCCGTAGGAGACTGTACACAGCCAGGACCCGTTATTCCAGATGGTTGAGGACCTGGATTGAGTTCTATATCACCAGCCAAGAGTAATATTAATGTGAGCTGAACATATCCCAGGCGTGAGTCGTTGTTGGATGACAATACCTTTTCACGAGTCACTGAGGTCACTTTACATTCGCATTGTTTAGGATCTTAGAAAACAGTGCGTGTTGACTCCTCAAAACCAAGGTGAAAACTCCATCGTTGTTTTCATTAAAGGGTCATATGATGCTGCTAAAAAGAACATTATTTTGTGCATTTGGTGTAATGAAATATGTTTATGCGGTTTAAGGTTCAAAAAACACATTATTTTCCACATATTGTACATACTTTTATAAAGAATATCTCTTTGAAATTGAGACTTTAGTCTTTGCAACTTTACAGATCTTCTTTATGCACCAAGAGCTTGTAACACTCTAAAGAGAAAGGAAAACTTGAAATCGCATCATATGACCCCTTTAATATATCGATGTTGCACCGTTAGTACCAATATTACTAAAATGTACGACATTAAAATCCAATTAGATGAAAAGGGTATAGATGAAACAAATCTTGATGTCGATTCTGTTGAGAAAATAAGTGGCTTTATTAAACCACACGCAGCACCTGCCAGGTACGTGTGATCTTTAGCCGCCATCTTCCCCCACATCACACTGAACACATGTAACTAGGAGGTAAAAAAGCTTTAACAAATCCACAGCACTTCATTTCAAGCACCAATTCTCACTATTAACTAGTTGCTTATTAACATGCATATTATACTAGCATATTGGCTGTTTATTATTACTTATAAAGCACATATTCTGCATGAGCATATTTTAGATCCCTCTTAACCCGACCCCATACATGAACTTAACAACTGCTTTACTGACTATTAATAAGCAGCAAATTAGGAGTTTATGGAGGCAAAAGTCAGAGTTAATAGTGAGAATTGGACCTTAAAATAAAGTGTGACCCAAAAAAACTAGTTAATTAATGCAATTTGATGCAGCAAGATCAAATTCAAATCCAAATTTCAGTTTAAAGCCCATTGCCCTTAAAATATAAAATAGGGATGATAATAAAAAAATAGATGAGATAATCATAAGAGTAAACAGATTAAAAACAAGCTTTTAAAATATAAAATATACAAACATATTACAAAAGATCAGTGCAAAACTGCAAATGCTAGTTTAGATGAATTGTTGGTGGTTATGTGTACATTAACTGTCAACAATAATTATTCTCTAATGATCCTTAATAAATAATAAAGCATGTGTTTAATCTACAACTGAGGTGGTAAATCATTTAATTTAATTTTAATGTTTTAACTGCTTATAGCTCCTGTTAATTGCTTGTTTGTGTTTTAATGCAAATATAATTATTTAGATGAAAGCCTCCAGATCCAAACTCTTTTCATATACATCTCATCACTGTTTAATAGTTTTTGAATATTCAGACTCTGAGCTGGAAATATTCATTAAAAACAGCCTTGAAGCATACATAGAGATTATAGAGTGAGAAGATGAATGTAAATGCATGTTTAGATGAATCACTGGTGATTATTTGTACTTAACAGTCAATCATTCTGCTCTATGATCTTTATTAAATAATGAAGTGTGTGTTTGTTTATCTGAAGTGAGCTGTACAGGCTCTCCTCGCCGATCAAACCTCATCTTGACCTGCGTTTCAAACACTACACGACTGAAAACAACATCAAACGCAGCTTCAGCTGAATCCACTTCCAGACGACCTTCACGACCCGAATCACATCAGGACACTTAACACACACCTCTAAACACAACACAGATGCTCTGCTCGTCTTAAGGGTCTAACATGAGTCACGTTTGCATTCGCACTCACTCACTCACTCACACACACACACGCACGCACGCACGCACGCACACACACACACACTCACACACACACGCACACACGCACACACACGCACGAACACACACGAACACACATGCACACACACGAACACACACGCACGCACACACACACACACACACTCACACACACACACACTCACTCACACTTTTTAAATTAGATTTAATGCAATTTAAATCTATTATTATTACTATTTTTAAAACATGACTTTTCAAAGTTGTAAATAAAATAAAGATTATTGGAGTGTGTGTTAAAAGAAAATACTATTTTAGTCTTTCTACTTGAAAATGTCATGTTTAATTCAATGTTACTTGCTCTTTCTCGGTAATTTATTGAAAAATGTAAGTAAATCTTACACACCTTACGATCTTATTTTTTCCAGTGAAGAACCATCATATTATTACATTCAGTATTTAATGGATACATCCGCGAGATCAAGGGAATATCAAACAAAACAAAGATTTCAAGCAACATCTTAAAAGTGTCACTTGCTGCACAACAGCATAAGTAAATAAATAAATACATAAATAAATAAATATTTTTTTTAAGTTGTAAATAAAATGATTACTGGAGTATTGACGTATGTTTTAATTTTATTTAGAAAACAGTATTTCAGTCTTTCTACTTCAACATTACATGTTCACTACTTGCTGTATCTTTGTAATTATTTGTGGAATTGCTGTGTTTATAATGTGAATCTGTGTGAAACTGAAGCTGACCCTCGCAGTCACGTCACGTTTGTTTTGTACGCTGAAAACCGCAGCACTTTCCGTCTCAGACTCAATCTATTCTCTTTCCAATTTAGTGCGTCCCGTCCCGTCCCAGACATTCGATTTAATGGATACATCCGCGAGATCAAGGGAATATCAAACAAAACAAAGATTTCAAGCAACATCTTAAAAGTGTCACTTGCTGCACAACAGCATAAGTAAATAAATAAATACATAAATAAATAAATATTTTTTTTAAGTTGTAAATAAAATGATTACTGGAGTATTGACGTATGTTTTAATTTTATTTAGAAAACAGTATTTCAGTCTTTCTACTTCAACATTACATGTTCACTACTTGCTGTATCTTTGTAATTATTTGTGGAATTGCTGTGTTTATAATGTGAATCTGTGTGAAACTGAAGCTGACCCTCGCAGTCACGTCACGTTTGTTTTGTACGCTGAAAACCGCAGCACTTTCCGTCTCAGACTCAATCTATTCTCTTTCCAATTTAGTGCGTCCCGTCCCGTCCCAGACATTCGTCTTCCCGCTGAAATATTCCATCAAACACTGAAGTGCTTCTGTCTCTCGGTTATAAAGCGGACAGCACAGGAACATTAGTGTGAGATGGACAATATTTCCCTTCCTCCGTCCCGCGTGCGAGTACAAACACAGGCCCGCAGCTTTATAAATGTGCGCCGGTGCTCCATTCATAACGGGACGCTCATTAGAGAGCTGGAGATCCATCTAGAGGGACATGTTCAGATCGAATGCTCCTCGATTTCAGAGCGCCTCCAGATAACAGAAGAGCGTCAGGAAGACAAATGCTCTCCCTCTGGAGCATTCAGATCCGTTTCTCAGGTGTGTGACGGATGCGTTACAATCTCAACAAACCATCAGAGATATGAAACATCTCACGCATCTACTGGAGATGATGATATACTTATATATTACACGCATAGTCAGGTTTGTCAGGACACCAAAATGTTAAACAGAAAGCAAAACATTACAGATTAATAATCCTCTTCCATATTATACGCATAACAAACTTTACTCATATATATAGACGAATAAAGTCATGCAATCTGATAGTAAATGTCATCTGGTTGATGTTTTATATCATCTCCAAATTAAATGATCCTATCATCCAGATATAAACTCATTAACGTGACTACAGATATGAGATATTAGAAACACTAAAATTATGAATTTCTGTCGTTTTGAAACAATGTGTTTTATGAAAAGAGATCTACAAATAAAACTGGCATGACCTGATAGTAATACTTTTGAAATAATACACAATTATACAATAACATCATCACAACAATTAATATATAATATATACAGTAAAGTACAGTAAAATCATGATTTATTGTTAAATCATCATGGCGTTTTTATCACTTGATTATGTTACTGTACTGTATTTTAGCATTGTTTTTTTTTTCTTCAAAAATCAGCATTAATATATTATAAGTAATGAATTTATCACCAGTTTTAATCCAGATATTTAATCCAGATACATCAACATTATTAATTTCCGTAAAGCCATTTTGAAACAATGTGTGTTATAAAAAGAGATATACAAATAAAAGTGATATTCATAATTTTGAGATAATACACAATTATACAATCATATTAAATACAAATTGATATAATATACAATTAATATATATGATACAAAATTTATTAGATTAAAAATCTACTTGAATTATTAGGTTGTGTTTACCAGAGTTTTTTTTTTTTACTTTTTTTATTGTATTTTAGCATTTAGTATTATTTTTCAAAATGAGCACAAATATATATTGAATATTGAACCATCAAATTCACCAGCGATAATCCACATTATAAAATATTTGATAGAAACATTAACATTATTAATATCTGTAAAGCTGGATTGATTTACATATAAAACTGTCATACACAACTATACAATTATTCAAAATTATATTTATATATAATTACTTTTTTTTCTGAAAATCATCACTAATATGTCATAAATATTAAAGGGGTCATATGATGCTTTTTTAAAGATCATTATTTTGTGTATTTGGTGTAACAGAATATGTTGACATGCTTTAATGTTCAAAAAACACATTATTTTTCAAATACTGTACATTATTGTAGGTCCTCTATGCCCCGCCTCTCTCAAACGCTTCGTTTTCTACAAAGCCCCCTCCTTTTAACTTTGATAAAGAATATCTCTTTGGTTTTGAGACTTTAGTCTTA